GAGATGCACATAATTTGGGTCTTACCCACAAACACCTCTCATCCCCCAAGGCAAAACCAGCAGTGGCAGAGTCTCCAACCTTCTAACACCACACTCCCGAGGCTGTTGATCCCCCTTTTAGACACTCCCAAGCCCAGCTAAGCTGCACAGGTGTTCTCCTCGACCTAATTTGAAATGGATAAGCCTGTGCAGGGGGCATACAATGAGACTGCTAGGGGCCAGTCCCTCAGGCGCCAGGGGAGGCCCACAGGTGTGAGACATTTCTAGGTAAATGAGCCGGGCTCAAGCCAACCCAGTATTTTCTCAAACTGACAGCCTGAGGGCTGACACAACTGGGAAAAATATAACCTAGCTGAGCAAGTCCCTGGGGCTTGTGACAAGTGACAAAGCGGGGCTTAGAATTGATCCTTGGGTTCCATATTTTCATTTTTGAGCTTTTTACCAAAAGCTGCTGGAACCTTCTGAATCCACCCCCATGTTAGGATTTTGCAGCACCCAGAAGTAAGGCTGGAAAGCAAGGTAGGCTGAAAGTTTCAAGGACAGGGGTCCCATTCCGCATAAGAATTGCTTATTTGACAAGGAGCAATTTCAAGGGTAGGGACATTTCTGAGATTTATTTTTAAGATTTTATTTGAGAGAGAGAACGAGGGGAGGGGCAAAGGGAGAGAGAGAATCTCAAGCAGACTCCCACTGAGTGCAGAGCACAAAGCGGGGCTCGATCTCAGGACCTGAGCTGAAACCAAGACTGAGCCACCCAAGCGCCCCAGTTCTGAGATTCTTAAACAAGGTTCCATTGCATCTAAGATCCACGATCCAGAGTTCCTCAAATGGCTTCTGACTGGTAGATCCCCAAAGCCACTAATATTCGCAAAAGGCCCTTTCTAACCCAACAATCTCATTTGCACACATTACGATGCACAGTTCCAGCGCATAAACGACTTTCTCAAGGTCACGCCACTAATGAGCTCAAACAAAAAGGGAGGTCTGACTCCCAGTCCCGTGCCTCTTTCTTGACCTCACACTACCTCTTACACTTCCTTCCCCACTCCCCCAACAAGATTTATCTGACCAGTGGTGGTAACAGCGATGAAAACCACTTCGTGTGGTTTGAGGAGAATTACAAAACCAGCGAGTGGGGCCGGTCGCAGCTGAGTCAGGATCGCATCGAGGAGGGCAAGCTCTCGGGGTATTGTTGTTAAGTGAGCCAGAGAAGGCTAACTCATGCTGAACCGCGCGGAGTCTGGATGGTTCCCCTCCCTGAGATTAGCAGGCACGCCAGCCGTGGCTTTGAGAAGTGCTCGGGGTGCAGCTGCAGTGTGATTTCGGCGGAGCCCCGGGGAAAGCTCAGCGCCCAAGGTGGCCAGCACATCCTGGCTCCTCCCTGCCACGGCCCCGCCCCTGCAGCCCCACTGCGAGTCTGGCCAATTGTCTGACAAGGCAGCTGTGTGCGCCTGTTAATTACACCGTGGGGCACCAAAGGGCAGTGTCAGGCAGCTGCCTAGAGTATCAAATGACTGCTAGTGGAACAGGCCGGCTCTAAGGGTTCTCTTCGCAAGGTCGGCGCGCAGCAGCTGATTTCCCTCCCTCCCTCCCTCCTCTGGTCGGCGAAGCCCCCTTTAAAGTCCTATTATGAAGGCTGCAGTGATGGATTTTCAGTTAGGTTAGGATCCATAACGGGACTAGTGTTGCTGATCTTTCTGACATGCCTGGCTGGGATGAACGTCCATGTGATCTTAGGTAACAGCCCCTTAAAACCAACATACCCTTTGAATTAATGGACTTAGTCCCATCTGATTCGAATTAGTTGGAAGTATTAAAGCTGCTTCCAAAAATAATGATGGCCAACACTTAACGCGAGGCTCTCTATGTGCCAGGCCCTTGATGTAGACTAATTCATTTGCTCCTCGCGACAACCCCAGGTAGGGGCTATTATTGCTTCCATTTTACAAATAAAGAAACTGAGACTTTGAGGCTAAATAATTTTTTTATAAAAGATTTTATTTATTTATTTGACAGAGAGAGAGAGAGAGAGAGAGAGGGAACACAAGCAGGGGGAGTGGGAGAGGGAGAAGCAGGCTTCCCACGGAGCAGGGAGCCCGATGCGGGCCTCGATCCCAGGACCCTGAGATCAGGACCTGAGCGAAGGCAGACGCTTAACGACTGAGCCACCCAGGTGCCCCTGAAGCTAAATAATTTTGTTGAATATAACACAACCGGTACACAGCAGAGCTGATAGTCAAACCCAGGCAACGTGGCATCTCCAAGCTTTTAACTCCTCAAAGCTGATGGGCCAGGACCATCATTCAATATTTATCCAGCATCTGTAATGTGCACATATTGCTTCTTTTGTTCTACTTGCTACCTTTGGAGTCAAGTCGATGCAATAAGCATTTTCTGGGACTCTACTCCGTACAACGAGGGGAAAATTCACTTCTGAGTAGGGTGATCGCAGAAAGCTTCACGAAGGAGGCAGCTTTTGAGTTGGAACTTGAAAGATAGGTTCAGTTTCGCCTATCAGAGATCAGGGACGTCACGGGGCAAAAGGCCAACTGTGAGCAAACTCACACAGGTAGGGAATGTTCATAGGAAACAGTAAAGTTGGGAGGCTGGGCTGTTGGATGTGGGCCTGGATCACAAGGAGGTTTAGCCCCAATATGAAGGATGGGCTGATACACTGGGGAGGAAGAGGAGGAAGAAGAAGAAAAGATAGGATGTACGTCTGTGTGTGTTTGTGTGCTTCTGTATGTGTATGAAATAAAGAGAAACCGGAGAAGCTGATGGTCCTTTATTCATGATTGTTTTTCTCTCCCCACCTCTTCTACCATGACTCTATCTGTCCATCCCATGAATAATGCACTGCTAAGCAAAGGCCTGATGCTGCTACATTCACAATTCCCTGCAAAGTAAAATCCAGGTGATCATGATTTAACTCGTGTTCCTCTAGAAACAAGATTAACTTCTTATAAAATTCTGATGGTGAACTGATGCTCCAGCTTCCTGAACACCCCCTGGGATGTAGCCACAATAGTGTATTTTCCACCATTTTACCCATTTTTATTTTCCAACATTTTGAAGCTTATTTCCTGTGGATAATCCCACCCCTTCTTCTATTTTCCTTTCTAAAAAACTGAGATATAGGGGCACCTGGCTGGCTCAGTCGGTAGAGCAAGCAACTCTTGATCTCAGGGTTGCGAGTTCAAGCCCCAAGCTGGGGGGAGAGTTTACTTAAAAAAATAAAATAAATTCAAATCTGAGGTATAATTTATAGAGAGTAAAGTTTACCATTTGTGATGTTAGTTTTGTGAGTGTTGACAAACCACGAACGAAATCAATATATAGAATAATTCCTTTGCCCTTCAAATTTCCTTCCTGCTGCCCCCTTTGTGGGCAACCTCTGCCCCCCTCCCACAGCTCCTGAAAACCACTGATCTTTTTTCTGTCCCTATAGTTGTGCCTTTTCCAGAATGTCACCGAAATGGAAACATAACAGTATATAGCGATTGGAACCTGACTTCTTTCACTTAGCATAAGGTATTGGAGCTTCATCCATATTGTTATGTGAATCAGGTGTTTGTTCCTTTTCATTGCTGAGTAGTATTCCATTTTATAGATGTACTACAATTCTTTTGACCATTCAGAAGTTGCAGGATATTTGGATTGTTTCCAGTTTTCAGCAACTTTGAATAAAGCCACTATAAACATCTGTGTACAGGTTTTTGTGTGAACAAAAGTTTTCATTTCATTTTAATAAATACGGGTCTGATAAAAGGCTTATACCAAGAATATATAAAGACCTCTGAAAACTCAATAATGGGGAAAAAGTAACCCAATTTTTAAAAAGGCAAAATATGGGTGCCTGGGTGGCTCAGTCAGTTAAGTGTCTGCCTTCGGCTTAGGTCATGATCCCAGGGTACCCGCTCAGCGGGGAGTCTGCTTCTCCCTCTCCCTCTGCCACTCCCCCTGCTTGTGCTCTCTCTCTCTCTCTGTCAAATAAATACAATCTTCTAAAAAATTTTAAAAAATTAAATTAAATTTAAAAAATAACATAAAAAAATGAAAAAGCCAAAATATTTGAAGAGACACTTCACCAAAAAAGACATACAGATGGCAAATAAGCACATGGAAAGATACTCAATATCACAAATCAGGGAAATGCAAACTAAAACCAAAATGACATACCATTGTGCATCTATTAGAATATTAGAATGTTTAAAAATGGACAATACCAAGTGCTGACGAGGATGCAGGCCAACAGAAACTCCCAAACATTGCTGGTGGAAATGCAAAATGGTACAGCCCCTTTGGAAAACAGTTTCGCAGCTGCTTATAAAGTTAAAAACATAAACCTACCATACAATCCCGCAATCCCACGCTCAGATATTTACTCAAGTGCTTTTCACTGAATTTTTGGGGATGGAATTTTTTTTCCTTCCTTCCGAATCAGACGAGGAATATAATCTCATTATTTTCTGATGAGTTGAGTTTAGCATTATAAGCACTATTGGATTATACTGGGATCCTGCTTTCACGTTTACCTTCCCCAAAAAGCTGAGTGTCTGTTTCATGCTACTTTTATGGGCTGTGTGCTGGGAATACATATAGAGAGGCAAGACGATTTCTATTGTTTTTTTTTTATTTTTATTTTTTTTTAGAATAGACACATTTTATTTTTTATTGAAGTATAATTCACATACAATGTTATATGTTTCAGGTGTATGACATAGCGAGTCCACATTCTGTACATGACCCAGTGCTCACCACGGAAAGGGTAGTCACCATCTGCCACCACACAATGTTATTACAATATTGACTACATTCCCCTTGCTGTACTTTTCATCGCCATGACTTGCTTATTTTATAACTGGAAGCGACTACCTCTTAGTCCCCTTCATCTATCTCACCCCTGCCCACCACCCACCTCCCCCTCCGATCGATCGTTCCTATTCTTAAAAGCAGAGATGCACTCAAGGCATTGTGGCCCACATGGTGATTTGCCCCTTCACTCAGTGGTCTCAGACGGCTGAGCTTTTCTCAGTTTTTATATACATCTTTTAAGATTCTCCTCCTCCCTTGAATTCAAACTTTCGGCCACTATTTCACTCGGCTCTTAGTGGACCTGCCGCTAGTAGCCTCTCATCGAATTTGCTGTGGGCCAGCAAGCCAGATAATGAAGTCTATTAGAATGGTGTACAAAAGAAGGTTACCGATTAAAGTTAGAATCTGACTGCCTCTCCTGACGCTTCTCCAACAGGGTAAAGTCCAAGGTCTTTGGGATAGTTCTTTCGAACTCCCACAGGCGTTCTTTGTTTCCTTGTGGGCTCTGGCCACCTTCCAGAGAGGTCAGTTAAGATGGCTGGAAGTCTAAACAACAGATAAAGGGGATGTTACCAGAGTTTACATCTATCTAGTCTAATCTGTTGAAATGTTTGCTCTTGCTCCAGGCTAGACAGAAGGACCCATGAGCCTTATGATCTAGGAGAACTAGGTTTGCGTAAACTCAACGTATGTAGTTGGCCACAGAACAATGGAGAACAAGCCATAACCCAAAGAGCGAAAGCAAGGCCTGTTTGAACAAGAATATAAGGAACGATAAAATATATGCCAAGTTCTGCCTCCTACACTCAGAAGCCTCTATTTCTCATTGGGACTACTATATTTCAAAGGAAGTGCAGATTTTTTTTAAAGTACGCGTATCCCACTTGTATCCAACTTAAACTGAAAATCATTCAGCGCAGAATCAGCCTCTCACTGTAACTTGCAACCGTCCTCTTTCAATTTGAATGGCAAAGCCTCTCAGAGAGGCTGAATTACAATTAAAATTTAGCAGTAGAAACAGTTGTTCTAACAGATGCTTTTTTCCTCTCCCAGCTTGTTAGAGAAGAGTAAGTCTTCAGAAAATAAAGTTGAAATAAAGAAAACATTTACCTACTAAAACAAACTCTGCTCTACCAAACCCACTCAGACCTTCTGCTGCCTTTTTTTTTTTTTTTTTTAAATCAGCAGGCTTTGGGCAAGGTCTGCTAGAAAAAAAAGAATCTAAGACTCATCCTTGCTCTGTGCCAAATACATGGTCTTAAATACATCAGCGATTTCCATTCCAAAGAAGGGTCCCGTCACTTGCTGAATAAAATAATTTTCCATAGCACAGGAAATGAGGAGATTGGATATTCTATCAGATGGGCAACTGAACAAACAAGGGCTCCAGGTGGCTAATGTCACACGGATGAAGGCACCCAGGGGAATGAACAGGCTTCTGGGTTTCAACGGCCTCCCCTCCATCAACAGCCAACACAACGTAACTGCATTTCCACCATGATAGCCTTTTTCCAACCAACCCCCAGAGAATAATCTATTCTAATATAATGCAGTTTCTTTAGAAGGACACAATTTGCTGGGATACAGAGCCATTTCTTTTCTTCCTCTCCTTTAATTCTCTCTCTTTAACGTTAGTCTTTAAAAAACTGCTCTTTCTTGGGCAGTTCCAGGCAAAAAGGTGCCAAAGAGTGAAAGAAATAGACCCCTGTTATGTCCACAAAAGACTTTAAAAGGTTTGGAAATTATTTTGTCAGCCTTATTTTAATGAAAATCGACAATGCCGTTTTCCCTTCTGAGAAACATCATTTCCAAGCTCTAGCTCTGACGTAATTGCATGCTTTAAAAAAAAAAAAAAATCTCTAAATGACTTTGTGTCAGTGAAATGACTTAGAGCATTCGCCACTCATAAAAAATGCTTCATTTCCGTTATCTGCATGGAGGTAACTCTCTACGCAACATCAAGTTCATTCAAATTAAATAACACAGCATTTTATACTCGAAAAAGCAGCCATCTTCTTTTCTGGGTTGAGCACTGCACTGCTCATAGCATGCCATCTTCAAAACCCTTAAATTGGTTTTAGGAAATACTGTTGGTTCTTTTAAGTGTGGTTATGTTTCGGTATCGTGGTTATGTTTGTGTAAAGAATCCTTATGTTTTAGAGATACATACTGAAATATTCATGTATGAAATGATACGTGGTCTGAGATTTCCTTCAAAATAATACGGCAGAAATGGGGCACGAGGATGAAACGAGAGTGGTTGTGAGATCACAACTGCTGAGGCAGGATGAAGGCTACAAGAGGAGACAACCTAGTGTTTTGTTTACTTTTGTATATCCTTCTCATTTCCCATAGTTAAAAGTCAAAACCTTTTATCACTCTAATGCCTAGAGAAGTAGCAACTACTCAAGTCTGTCTTTCCAAATCTTCATGAAGCTTTGCATTTACAAAGTTAACTTTCTTTAAGTGATCTCTACACCCAACATGGGGCTCAAACTCACAACCCTGAGATCAAGAGTCTCATCCTCTACCGACTGAGCCACCCAGGGGCCCTTACGAGACTAATTTTTAAACCTACTATCTCCTGGAGCGCCTGGGTGGCTCAGTTGGTTAAGCGACTGCCTTCGGCTCAGGTCATGATCCTGGAGTCCCGGGATCGAGTCCCACATCGGGCTCCCTGCTCAGCGGGGAGTCTGCTTCTCCCTCTGACCCTCTTCCCTCTCGTGCTCTCTATCTCTCATTCTCTCTCTCAAATAAATAAATAAATAAAAATCTTAAAAAAAAAAACCCTACTATCTCCTTATTCCCATTCACACAACGTGTGCACCAACCAAATTGGACTACTGATAATTTGCACGACATACCCGGTCTATCCCCACTTTTGGATTTTAGCATATTTTATCCCCTCGGCCAGAATGTCTTGCCCTTCCCGCTTCTATTTCTACCTGTCAAAATCCAACTAGTCCCACATCAAATACCACTTGTTCCAAGAAGATTTTATTATACACACACTGGAAATTGAATCTTCCCACACCATTTTCCCTATGCATTATCTGTTTAGGTAACTCTTTAATGATTATCCTATTAAGTGATATATAAATTTAATAGTAAACAGATCACAGAAAATAATGATTTGTTGTGGTTAAGTAGTCAAAATGGTATTATATCAAAATATTACCAATGGGGCGCCTGGGTGGCTCAGTCGGTTAGGCATCCGACTCTTGGTTTCGGCTGAGGTCATGATCTCAGGGTTGTGAGATTGAGCCCTGTGACAGGCTTTGTGCACTCAGAGACTCAGACTCAGAATTTGCTTCCCCTCTCCCTCTGCTCATCCCCTGGCTCACAGGTGCGTGAACATGCACACTCTGACACACACTCTCTTGCAAATAAATAAATCTTAAAATATATATACACAGATACACACACACACATACATATATACATATATATATATATAACCAAATAGATTTCTGACAAACGTCACTGTGATTCATTCCTGAAGCATTATGTAAAGAACAAAATCTGGTCCCAAATTAAGCATATTTTCATTTAACTTTTAATCAAGAATTTGAATGATGGAAGGAAAAGCATGATATTATCAATGAACATTTCCTAGATACCCATCAAAAAATAAGACTTCCTAAAGAATAATCATAACCATTTGTACAGAAATAGTTTCTATCACTCCAGAGCTTTCAAACTAAGCCTCAAAATAGATGCAGATGGGACAGACTCAGATAGACAAAAAAAGCCACTCATATTTCAAGAATAAGCACATTTGATATGGGAAATTTTCTCATGATATAATATTAAGTTAGAAAAAACAGGATACAGGGGCTCCTGGGTGGCTCAGTCAGTTAAACGTCTGCCTTCAGCTCAGGCCATGATCCCAGGGTCCTGGAATCGAGCCTCGCATCGGGCTCCCTGCTCAGCCAGGAGTCTGCTTCTCCCTCTCCCCGCCGCTGGTGCTTTCTCTCTCACTATCCCTCTCTCGCTCAAATAATCTTTAAAAAAAAAAAAAAAGGATACAGAACTGTATATATAATATGATCCTGACTTTTGTAAGAAAAGAAACTATGTTTCTATAAATACATAAGAAAGGGGAGGAAAATACAATATATTAACTGTAGATATCTCTAAATAATGGAATAATAGGTGATTTTTCTTTCCTTGTGCTCTTCTGCATCTCTAAGGTTTTTGTTTTTTGTTTTTGTTGTTTTTTTTTAAAGATTTGATTTATTTATTTGACAGAGAGAGACACAGCGAGAGAGGGAACACAAGCAGGGGGAGTGGGAGAGGGAGAAGCAGGCTTCCCACGGAGCAGAGAGCCCGATGCGGGGCTCGATCCCAGGACCCTGGGATCATGACCTGAGCCGAAGGCAGACCCTTAAAGACTGAGCCACCCAGGCGCCCCTAAGGTTTTTGTTTTTATTTAAAGATTTTATTTATTCATTTGAGAGAGCGAGAATGAGAGAGAGAGAGCACATGGGGGGGAGGGTCAGAGGGAGAAGCAGACTCCCTGCTGAGCAGGGAGCCCAATGCGGACTCAATCCCGGGACTCCAGGGATCATGACCTGAGCCTAAGGCAGTTGCTTAACCGACTGAGCCACCCAGGCACCCCTCTCTAAGGTTTTTAAAATGAGCAGCTATTATTTACATAACTGGGAAGTGATGGTTAAAAAGTATATCTGTAAAATTAAATCACTAAACCATTCCTTATACCAAATGAATTAAACATTTAAATCTGAAATGATAGAACCATAAAAATACTAGAAGAAAATATGGGTTAAATTTTTAGTAATTCCAGGGAGGGAAAGACCTAAGATGTCATATAACCCAGAAGCCATAAAAGCAAAGACTGGTTAATATGACTATATAATCTAAAATTACTGTATCACAGGGCGCCTGGGTGGCTTAGTCGTTGAGTGTCTGCCTTCGGCTCAGGGTCCTGGGATCGAGCCCCGCATCAGGCTCCCTACTCAGCGGGAAGCCTGCTTCTCCCTCTCCCACTCCCCATGCTTGTGTTCCTGCTCTCTCTGTGTCTCTGTCAAATAAATAAATAAATACAAGCTTTAATAAATAAATAAATAAAATTACCGTATCACACACACACAAAAATCAGGAAATCAAAAAACAAACTGGAAAAAAACAGCAACGCACACCAAAGACAAAACACTACTTTTCTTAATATGTAAAGTACTCCTACAAATCAGTAAGACTAAGATCAACAACCCAGTTAAAAAATGGTCTATGGATACATACAGATAATTCACAAAAAAAGGTAATACAAATCTCTCTTAAAACATATGTAATATGATCAATTTTACTCAAATGGAAATGCAAGCTAAATCTAGAACATATAGATCTGTGGGGGCACCTGGCTGGCTCAGTCAGTGGAGTATGCAACTCTTGATCTCGGGGTTGTAGGTTCAGGCCCTGTGTTGGGTGTAGAGATTACTTAAAAATAAAACCTTTAGAATATATAGATCTATAATATACCCAAGATAAACATAAAAAGATAGGATAACACATACTGTTGTAGGAGT